TTCATAGGTTTTATAATGAAAATTATTTTATTGATACAGTATTATATACATTTTTTAATAACCAATTATATATGTACTACGTACACTTAATCCTAACGCAGCCCTAATCTTTTCTAATTCCGAAGCATATTTATTAATTCCCTAGATTTCCGCCTTTCCGTCATCAAGGTACATGGCGAAAAAGTTCATGTGAAAAATTTTACATTTTCATGTTTGAGAAAGTTACATGATCCCCCAAAATCGTACATAATCGTAAGTTCACGTGAAACTTTTCACTTTTCACGTTTCCGCCCTAGGGGAAAAGTTACATGATCGACCCAGAGTTTATTTTTCTTCTTCTAGTGTAAGAAAGAATTAGTACAACCAGTTTAGTCAAAAAAAAGCAGTCCTACCGATTCTAAACCCAGTATAGCCAGTTCAGTGAACTGTTGTACTGAATTCCACTGCACTGCTATAAAGAACAGTGTTGTCACAGTACATACAGAGTGCATTCGTTTACACAATGTTTTATGCATCCACTGCTTTCTCATCTGCTTGTCACGTGATCGAAATTTACCGAATGGATAATTGCGTGAATAACTGCACGGATCGTACCTTCCAAGAAATTGAGCCGATTATTTGAATGATAAATAAAAAGACAATTTTATACATATGTGGATATGCGTATATATGGTGGATTATACGTTGTCGGTCTATAACTTGATGAGGCTGATCTCTGAAAAGTCGGAGAAGCATGAAGATTGCAAGACTAAGCAATACCACCACGATTTGAGGTTCGACCGTCGCCAGCAAAGTCTCTCGAAGTTCTGACTCGGTCTCGTTTATTTCAACAGACGGATAATAACAACGGATAATAATTTCTAGAACAATCGGTTATTTGACAAACAAAAACGCGAACGCGATATTTACACAGCTTATAGCTAATATCACAAAGACAAAGAGAATCGCGACGATACAATACCAAAAGGGACACCGCAAACATAAGGAATGCGCGTGACAAAAATGTTATTTTGCGGAACGTACCATGCTAGCAAGGGCACTGCGGAAGGAACGTTCGAGATTAGAAAACGCTGAAACAAGAGAAACAGAAAAAGAAACGCTGAAAAAGATCGTTCGCGAAAGAGGAGGCGGATCGCCGGAAGACGCACGCTGTATTGCCACGCGGAATGCTTGCGAATCACAAGAAATCGCGGGCGGCTGCCGCACGTCTAAGTGTCGGTCCACAATAGGTGATTTAAGCTTTAAGACGTAAGAAATTGACCAATTATAATCGAATATGAAAAGAATAATCGACTATGATTGGTCAATTTCTTACGGCTTAAAAATTAAATACTTATTGTGGACCGACACTAACGCTGATTAAAAATTAAAAAAACGCAACGCAGACGAGTATGAAACGTAACGCAGACACGGATAAAACAGTGCACGCGAAAGAGAATCGCAGAGAGTGGAACTTTGACGATTGCACAGAACGCGGATAAAATGCAGAATAAGACGGAACGGAACAGACAGAGACGCGGATGAAACACACGCAGATCGCGGATAGGATACACGCTTGCGAGCGAGAGAGAATCACAAAGCCGATCGCGTGCGAGCGAGAGAGAAAAGCGACGGATCACACGCGAGCGAGAAGGAGAGGCAGCATACATGCGAGCGAGAAAGAAAGAACGAGCGCAGGCGAGAGAGGTGGAGGCGCACGAAGAGCGAGAGGGGCGACGAGCACCCGGCGCAATAGGCGGCACGCCGCACGTGGTCGCGCGACACAGCACAGAACCCAGCACACGCGCGACACTCGATACTAAATAGGGCGTGGACACACGACCGCGATGATACCTGAAACTCTCTCTCCCTCTCTCCCTGCGCTAAACGTGTGACTGTTCGTATATCCGATGGCAGGCACGAGAAACCACGTAAAATGGCCGCTCAACACAATATGTCTGACGAGGAAGAAGTTATCACACTGGTCGTAGTATAATCGTCTGCTTCCTCGGTGGACGGTAACGCTCGGCGGCAGGCGCGCAAGCGGTGCAGCGGAAGTAGGTGGCAAGGGCGCCACACATAAATTTATATTCGAATAATTAAAATGTAATAAAACTTTTTATTGTATAAAAGGTAATATTTATTGATATTAAATTGATATAAATAATGAATATTATAAAAAATATTAATCTATGAATTTACTTAAAAGTTAGATATTAATTTTTTGTGAATTATATTTTATTATTCTTATTTTTCTTATTTCTTCTTATTTTTATTCTTATTTTTCTTATTTTTCTTATTTTTTTATATTATCTTATTTTTATTTTAATTATATCTTATTATTCTTATTTTACTGGATCAATTATTTATTTCTGACCCTTCTTATTCTAATAAAATTCATTTTGGTATTCGTTTATGCAGTACTGCAAGCAGAGCATCCAAAGCAGGACTTTCGAGATAGCTGCACAGATGAAATACATTCTTGTGTAAATGAACGACGAACTGCGCTGCAGTCGGAATAAACGAACGACATTTGTGATAGTGACTACATAAATCAGTGCTCGAAATTAGTTGCCCTTTTCGGCTCGATTTTAAAGATGATGCCTACAGTTCCCCCACTACTGCTCGAGACTTGATGGCCGAGCCGCCGTAGCCTTATGCCTCAGGAATGTCTTATATTAAAAATGCACCATTTTCGTTAAACTATTATTAATGCGGAAACCTATTGTTAAAACTTTAATTATTCTATTTATTATGTAATAATTCTACTATAAATGTATTTATCATCATCAAATATTAAAAAATTATAAAACACATAAAATTATAAAACAAATTATAAAACACATAAAATATGTTAAAAAGAAAATTTAATGTTTATAAAAATAAAAATAATTTGATAAAGAAATTGATTTAATAATAATTTGGCGGAAACGGTGCATTTTTAATATAAAACGTTCCTGAGGTAGCTCGATCGTTAAATCTCAAGCGGTAGCGGGGGAACTGTAGGCGTCGCCTTCGAAATCGAGCCGAAAAGGACTAATTCCGAGCACTGGCATAAACGAATGCACCCATAATAGTGTAACTCCTTGTCGGCACCTTTGATATTAGTATATGCGAAATTGAACTGCACATGCGCGAGCTAAGTAGATAATCAATCATAGATCTGCTCTTCGATGCTATACTAGACTACACTAAAATGTTCTATCTCGCTTTCACTAAGGTTTAAATATATATCTATTTCATTTTAAGTACATCGAAGGTATATATACTTCCTCTCTTTTTCTAACTTATTATTTATATGCTAGCATCATATTTAAGAGATAAATTAAATAAAAATAATATAAATATGATATAAATACATAGCTAATAATAAAAAATACTCTATATAGATGATATAAAATAGAAATATCAAATTTGAAATATAAAAGTAAGAAAATAATTTAAAAAATATACGTAAAAATATATAAATATTAATTAATAAAAAGAAAAACTATATTATATTATTAACTTTTGTAAAAAAATTGCATAAAATATGAAAAAATATTTAACATAAGAAAATAGTATATAAAATAAACGTATGTATTTAAATAATATTATTACTTTAAAATAAAAAGATAAATATAAATATATATTTCTTAAATTTATAAGATTAATAAGATTTATAAGATTTAAAAAATACAATTATATTTATAAAATTTAGAAATAACAAAATTTAATGAATAAATAGAAATGTAGGTATACAATAGTAAAAATATTTTTGTATAGAAAAGAATAATTTATTTTAAATATACCTATTATAAATATACATATA